TCATAGCCCCTGCTATCTCTCGGGCTAGGGTCCCTATTGCGATGTGACCCAGTGGTTCGGCCACAGTAGCTTGGCCTGTCCCTTCCTCTTGTACCAGAACTCCATGAACCAGTACCTCATGCACACCCCGACAAGCTCTACCACGTCTCCAGCCTCTACCACCCCGAGTTTGACCTCTTCCTGACATCCTATAAAGGACAAAAAAAATAATAATTTAGCACACTAACTCATATGTGCCCGTAATTTACCTCACACGTTTGACCTTAACAAGTCTATATATATCTCTATCATATAAAGAAGTTAACTTCACTCCACATAAGCACTTATTCATGTAAACACATACGGATTATTCTTTCATGATGAAATTCGTCCCACAAAAAATCAAAAATTCTTAGTAGAACGAGTATTGATCAAGTACCCTTCTAAGAAGACCTCCAGGAATTTAACAGACGCAAACAACATCCCAAAATTTTAATCCCATACCCACATAGCCACATAAGCTTGTTATCACATAGTCATAAAATGCATAACATCTTCCTATCATGCAACCTATCATGTAGCATAAACCCCATGTGGTAAAACAACCACTTCCCACGAGCTTTAAGTACTCGAATCCGGTAGCTCTGATAGCAAGTCGTAACGCCCCAAATTTCTAGCCCAAATGATAATACAACAATCATCGCTCTTTCAAAGAAAACCGAATATAAATCTCCAAACTTACATTACATGATACAATATTTCTTCATGCAACAATACATCAATCCAATAACAAGTAAATAAACAAATAAATACCCCAAAAGGTTTACAAATTTCCAAGGCTTAAGCCCGGTTACACAAAACGATTATTCAAACCCACACAAATACAGCCCTTGGCTTACAAAATAGAGTCACGCAAAATAAGAGCATTGTACTCCCAACACACATACTTTCATGCCCCTAGTTGGGTGGAATCACCACATATTTTCCTGTACAAAAATCCGGTAGGGTGAGCATAAAGTCCAGTAGAAAATTCTTAACAAAGTATATACATTTTATACAAGCCTCAAGAGATGAAATACACATGCCATGCTATGCCCTTTTTGAAGATAAATTACATTTTCATCTTTTGAAAACCATCATGCTCAATGATGTCATGCAATTTCAATGGTTCAAAACTTAACAATTTATTTCAAAGGCGGTAAATACGTCTCTGGTAATCCCTAGGCTGGTGTCTACAAGTAGACTATACGAGTACTACCAAATTGTCATTTTTACCGGTATTAACCGAAAGGCTCGACACCTATCCGCGCAAATTTTTGGTCTTTCACCCTGGACCCGCAGGCCAACTTATTCAATATCATCTACACCATCTATCAAGACTTACCAACATATTTACCCCCAAAACCATTTCATGAAAACGTATTTCTCAACATTCTGTTCTCAATGCAAGTTTTCAAGTCAACCTTCAAAGTCTAATGTAATAAAATGAAATGATATGCCAATTTCACAAGATGAACATAAATACTTTAATTCCAATTCATCATCCAAGGAATAACACAATTTTCTCTTGTCAAGTATTCCCAACAATTTAGTCATTTCAAGACTATATCAACATTCTGAATAACCATTTTTAAAATAAACCACAATTCTCATAATCCAAAAAATTAATCATTTATACAAATATAAATAAGAAATTTTCTAAACATCATTTATTTTGGCACACAGAAATAAATATAACAATATTATCCATGGATTTTCAATCTCTTTCAAAATCTCCAATTTCTAGGTTTTCTCACCAATCTACACAGCTCAAATCTTTTGAAAGAAAACTCTCGAAAATCATCTTTTCTTCAATCAACAAAGATCAAAACCCGTAAGATTATTTGAAAAGAACAAGAGACAAACCAACTTTCAAAATCGCTCAACTTCTTAAATCAAAATAAATTTTTAGAAGCTATCAGACAAACCAACTTTCAAAATCGCTCAACTTCTTAAATCAAAATAAATTTTTAGAAGCTATCAAAGGATGATTTCGAAAATCATCTAGATCTTGCAAAAATATATATATATAACTCAAAGAAAATCTCTACCTCAAGTTTTGAAGAAGAAATGAGATGAAACTCCCAAAATCAACGGTGTTGAAACTCGATCTTCACCACACAGAATGAAGCCCTCGAGGTGATGACCAGCTTTGGTGAAGAACTTAGGCTTAAGTCCCAATGGATTTGGAGAAATCAAAGAGAGAATGAGACTTCTAGAGAGAGAAGCTCTAGATCAGAATTTTGGAGAGTTTTAGAGAGAGAGAGGGGGCTGCAAGAAGTGATATGAAACCCTAATTTTATGGACTGATATAACATGGTCCGCTCGCACGTGGAAAGCTCTGCTCGAGCGTCAAATACACTTTCCCGTAAGCAATTTCGAATGCATTTTGCATTTTTGTTTTAAGGAGCGCTGCCCCCTGGACTCCCGCCAAGGCGCTGCTCTTGGACTGGCCATGGGGCGCTGCCCTCCTAACCCCCACAAGCTGACCGGGCAACTCGACCCCCGGCCTGTCCAGTCGAAGTGGCAAACACATGAAAGAAGGGTCGAAACCGAGATCACTACATAAAGACTAGAGCAATGTTTTTTTTGTTACAAATTTCGTACAAACGGTGCCAAATTGTGGTGGATGAAAATTGAACCACCTTTGCTGTGGCAGTACTCTGGCGTGAACACGATGGCACTTGGCTTAAAACACTAATGAAAATATGCAGAACCCAGCTGGTGGGCAGCCACAGGATTCTTTGATACTTAAGTTAAAAAGCTTAAGAGTAATGGAGCAAGAAAATATAAGAATAGGAGCAGCCCAAAATAATTGTAATTAAACTTGTCTACCTTTTTCCTCACTTGGTATGGCTTTATATAGCCTTTCAAGTGACTATTGGATTTGGTTCCACTTCCCCTACCACTACTCAAGTTTAACCCACTTGTTGTGGTATTATGTTCTACTATCGTGGAATTCTAGGAGTGGTTGGCCCTTAAAATAAGGACCAAGGTTTGACCAAGTCTATCCTTGAGAGCTATGCCTTTTGGATCTGGCCTTCTGGCCTGGACCCTGGATCTGGTTCTCTAGTCTTGCACCTTTGGTCCTAGACCCACATGTCTAGACTTGAACCTCTAGACTTGGTTCTTTGGTTCTTGACCTGCATGTCTAGACCTTGATCTCTGGTTCTGGTCCCTTGGACTCTTGTGGTCCTAGACCTCTGGTCTTGGTCCTTTGGACTCTTCTGGTTCTGGATCTCTGGACTTGGTCTTGGACCTGCATGCCTGCACCTAGATCTCTAGTCCTGGTCGTTTGGTCTTATAGACTTGCTATTGTGCTCATCAGAGTGTGTCCTACTCGGATTCTACACATTTTCTACTCGGAATGAAACTCTTTATTTTTGACTCTCACAATTTTTATTATTATATTAATTTGAAATGTTATGAATTAGGGTTTGGTTTTATATATAAGATGGTAGAATTGTATTCATCAGGGTGTATGGTATCAATTCGGTTCTAATCTAGAACCATGAACTTAAATCCATAACCAATCCGTGGAGATTAGTTCTCCAATTTTTGAAATCAAAATTGAACTATAGATTCAAAAAATGAAACTAAATCTATCAAATTGGACTGAATCAGGTTGATTTTGCAAATTTTTTGATTTTCTTACTTAGCCTTAACGATGTGAGCTGGTAGAAGACTAAGCCCACTATAATAAAGGGGTACTTACGTATAGGTCCTAATAAGTAGATTTATTATCTAATAGGTTCTATGAAAAAAAAAATTGTCATAAAAAAGTCACTAATTATAAGTTTTAGCGACAATTTATAAAAATCATGATAAAAAAGTCACTAATTACCAATTTTTAGCAACATATATAAAAAATTGTCACAAAAAAATTATTTTTTACGGCAATTTTACCAAAATTTATTTTCAATAGGACTTAATAGAAATTAAGTCCAACTATTGAGACCTGTTGGTAGTTGTCCCCATAATTAAACATGCGCCAAAATCTAAACGTGTAAAGCTCTGATGGACATTGCAACTTATTTCCTAACTTCAAATCCATTTATGCTTAGACCCAAAAAAAGGGGAAAAGAAAAAAAAGCATTTATGCATAAAACTGATAATTAAAATATAGAAATTAAATTGACGTTAAAAAAAATAATAACACATTAACTATAAGTATAATTTCTTCATCAATTTATTTATTTATGTTGTTGATGCTCTACCCTGCAGCTTTTCACAACACACTTGATAAAGAATATTAATAAATGGAGGTGTCTCAAGTACTGCTTAGGATAAGAAGAGTAAAACTGTCAAATCATATATGTTTCCATGGCCAAAATTTTAATCTAAGATAACGCCAACTACTAGTCCCAAAAAGAAAATCCAAAATTTTGCTTAGAATTTGTAATTAATGGCTGAGATTCATCAATTGTGTGGTCAAACAACAAATTTAAAATATACACACTATTGATATACAATTAAGGGTAATTTTTTAAACCCTTTTATGGCTTGTCATTAATTACTTTCTGTTTATAAGTTAAAATTCGTGATAAAATTTAGGAACATAAAAATAAATGACAGGAAAATAACATACTTGTCGTTTTTCCATGACATTTTAAAATGATTACCTAATTTTGATTTTTGAACATCTATAAATTAGAGGGTCATTGCAAAAGCATAAGTTTTGTAGTATCAGTTTTGTAAAATTGTAGTAATTTATTTGCATTTCATGTGTGTCTGTTTCCATGCAAATATTTCCAAATCTAGATGGAGGCTAAGGAAGACCAAAGGTTAAAAACAAAAAGAAGGAAATATGAGAGTAGAGCAGTAGGACACAAATCATATATTGTATTAAGCTACCATCAATATGAAAGGTCTCGCAGGGGCTTTTACTCAAGCTACCACAGCAAGCCAATCCTCTTCTTACACGTGCAAAAAGATCTTATTATGAAAAATCTATTTTCAAAAAAATTATGTATCAACAACAATCTAGAATTGACCCCCTTGAAAACTTTGGCCGAATTGCCAATTAGCAAGTACCACGTTGTAGCTTGTCACAGTTCTACCGTCACAGGTAGTCACTTGAAAAGACAAACTTTGGCCATTGAGATCAGAGTTGCTATGCCAGTTTTGGCCCCAGTTTCTTGACATAGCTTGCCACCCTGTCTTGGATACCTTGATTGACACTGCATAGAGGACATCCCCTACACCTGCGACGTTGGTGATCAAAACCAGGTTAAAGTAAGAGTGGCCGTTCATGGTGAACCTAATTCCTCCTTTCTTGATACAAGGCACCCTGTCACAAACCAACTCAATTCTCATTAATCAAATTTTAATATGGATTAAAATATAGCTCCAAAAATCTCAATTATTTAAAGCTTATATGTAGAATACATGAAACCAAAATCATATTTTCCTATATAAAAATTCTGAAAGAATAGTATTTTTCGTGTTATTTTTTTACCTTCGGAAGACAACGAGCACGATTCCACCACGATATTGAGCAATTTTCAAGAAAGCGGGCTCGGACAGGTCAAAGAGAACAAGTGTTGCAATTGCAAAAAAGAATTGGTTAGTGGCCATTGGATGTTTTGAAGACTCCTTCAGATAGGTCTTGTGTGTAAGGTGGTGGTGTTGTATGAGGCTTATGCTGAGGGAGGTGAAGATGGTAGCTATTTATAAGAGAAGTGAATCACAGAGAGAGAGAGAGAGAGAGAGGATTCAAAGTAAATAAACTGTTTTCTATAACTTCCCAATCTGTTTTCTATCACCTTATAATTAGTAATATTAGATTTTTTGAACATTTTTGTGCAACTGCTACTAAATACTACAATTAATTTTCTATAATGTCAATTTTGTTTTTCTATTTTTTATTTTTTTTTCCATTAATACTAAGTATATAACCGTTGGAACTGTTTGGAGTTACATGAACAATTTTTTGTAACTGAAGAGGTTAATATATATATATATATATATATGTGTATATTTACTCATTTTAATAAAGAAAATTTATTATCTTTTAATATGTATCATGTGATATTGTGATTTTTTCTAAAAAGTCGCAACACATACTAGGTAAGTCATTATTTTTTCATAATTACCAAACAAATGAGTCAATATATCTTATCGATAATTTTTTTATTATGTAATGTAAACACGTGTGTATATATACGAGCAATATATTTTAGAGGAAAAAAAAAATAGACATAATTTTTACTTTAAATATGTTTATGTTAATTTTTTTTTAAACAATAATATTTAGACTTCACTTAATGTACTTATCTTTATTTCATAACCTCTCAAAACGGGAATGTGAAAATTATGATTATTTTTAAATTTTTTTATGTTAATGCGTTAGATAATTAAATGATTCATCAAAATGACATTTTTAATTTTATTTTTTATTTTTTATTTTTAGGTTCAAGCTATTAGAAACACAAATCAAAATTTACTTTCTTTTTTTAACTATAAAATCAAAATTAAAATAATATTTGAGCGTGTTGCTTGATAAGCCCAAAAGTATAAATTTCATTGTTACTATTTAGATATTTAACTCTACATGTTCAATAATTAAAATTTTCATTATTATTATTTACACAAGAAGTTAAATTTTTGTAGTATAATTTCTGTTATTCTTAATTTTTTAGGTTCTTACTTAGATTTAATTTTTAAAAATTAAATGTATGAGAAATGTCATCGTATTGAACAAAACTAACACTTTCATGATGTGTATTTTTATAATTTAATAAATTTTCATTGAGACTTTGAGCCTCAACGACACGACAACATTTTGTGTTATATAATAAAACCATGACTTAAATGATTTTTAAAATGTTGTGATATTAATTAAAGAGGCACGTGTATGTCAATATTTCATAAGTTGAAGAAAAAATAATGTTTTTCTATATATAATAGTAAATATAGATTTAATCGGATTAGCATCACAGCAAGTTTTTGGCTCAATTTCTAATCTAAAATGAGTAATGTTTGGAATTATATAAACTTTGTTTTTCCTTTTTCTTTTTTGTTGGTCTCTCACCAACTGGAGGTTTGAGCTTATTTTAGCTCTTAGCTCCTCTTTATTGATGTTTCCCATTGTACCTTGTACGTGCTTCATCAATAAAGTTTTCTTTGCCGATCAAAAAAAATTATATATATATATATATATATCATGAAACGCTTTATGAAATTTTTTCATCTTTTGAATAGTGTGTGGCATTTTATTATATGTGTAATCTAAATGTGAAAAATCGTAATAAAATATTTTATAATATTTTCTTATAATTCTTAACATTACTCATCTAAAATTATGTCAAATCATTTTATTGGTCGAGGCATAACTCATAGATAAGAACTTTCTTATTTTTTTTTTTACTTTTTATTTTTTTATTTCAAGATTGGGAAGAAAATCTTTATTGCAAAAACCAATAAAAGATCAAATCAATCTGGTACAACAGTATCACAAGATCTTAAAAAGAGATAAACAACTTTCATAGAAGAAATGATCCAAACCTCCATAAAGGAGGAGAAAAGGCTCCCATAAGGGAGAGAAACAAACCTCTACACATGGAGGATTAATACATCACCAAAAAATTAAGAAAACCACCAAATAAATAAATAAATAAATAAAAAAGAAACAAACGAAAAACATATCCAAGTCATTACTGAACTCATCAAAAACTCCATTGCTTTGTAGCCTTTCACTTGGAATTTGAAGACTTCACATCTGCTGGTCAAGACAGAACATTGATGTTGAGGTGGCCGTCTGGTGTAAAACAAATGCATTATTTAGCATTGGCCTTCGGATTGTTAAAAGATTTGAAATCAGATCTTAAAGTTTTAAGTTTAAAGGTAGAAAAAGTAAGACAATAATGCCCAGACTAAAGAGGTAAACATCATATCTAGATTACGAAAATGATCGAAAAGAGGGGGTGGGATATCGGAAAGGTGAGGGGAACCACTTCCATCTCCCTCTCCCTATATAGAAAATTTAGAGAGAAAAGTACGAGGCATTTAGGGTTTATGGAAGACCGCGTGTTTTATATGACATAAACTAATTCATGGATAAAAACTTTAGGCTAGGCTTGATTTTTTATTTTATTTTATTTTTGTTTTTGTTTTTTGACCAAACTATTTGGATTGGACAAATGACACGGTTATCATTACAAGATTAAGTGTATTTATAATTTACTTTAACAATAGTTTCATTATCTACCTAACATTTTAAATTTTTTTATTTTGTTAAGTTATGTATAATTCATACTTAAAATAATTTCTATAAATTTTTAAAATGAATGATGTTAGGATGATCATGTTTTGATACTATATTTGACGATATGTAACGTGTCATCTTTTTTTTTTTTTTTTTGAACGGCAAAGAAAGATACTTTATTGATGTAAAAATCTAGTACAAGGTACAAAAACAAATTACACCAATAAAGAAAGAGGGGGAGTACAGGAGCATCACAATGAGCTAAATCATCCCAACGAAGTTGGCACCAAATAGCTCATACTATCATTTGCAAGAACCCCCAAGTTGGCGAGGAACCAATGAAAGGAACAGACCAAACACCAAACCAAAACTGCTAGACACCAAGCCAAAGCTGCTACAAACACAAATCAGATCAGATCACCAGCTACATACACAGATCAGATCAGATCAAAGCTGATCAAAATCTAGACCAGATCAAAACAGAACAACAGATAAGGACTAAACACTAGCAGCATGCATACTCAGATCAAAACCAACCCAGAAAATCAGACCAGATCAGCAGCATCCATTAGAACAGATCACCAGTCATTAGAACAGATCAACAAATCAGAAACAGACTAGAACAGATCAAGAAGTGCATCAACCATCAAATTGGAACAGATCAGCAGCAGCAATCAGACCACTCATTGAGACACAACACCAGCAAGCTCAAAACGAGCTCAATAAACACAAGAACCAAATCATTAAAATCCCCATTTCACTGAACCCCCCATATGTAAACTAAATCATTAGCTTCACTGCACACCCTTTTGTGTGTTAGCCTCTGTGGTCCTTAGTGATGCTAATTTGCAATTGTAGCTCAATTTCTTTGTTTACCCTTCACTGATACAATGCTGTAGACGCGCCCCGAGGGCCTCATCCTACAGTTCGAACTCAAATGTCACGATTTTGAATCAAATCCCGCAAAGTGCAATGCGAGACCGATAAATCACCAAAGAATCCAAATTCGGCAAATCGTTTAGAAAACTAATTTTTAAAAAAGAAGTGCCAAACATGGACTTCTTTTCCAGATACAGAGTCGCCACCTAAATATTTTATTTTGGAGGAATTTAGAAAACCCTGACTCGTTGCCTACGGCCACGTGTCCGTCATCACCAAAGTTGCCTCGACTCGGGAACTTGGGTACGATTGGGGAAGGTCATCTATGAGCACCCCCGCTCGCCTGATCAAAGATCGGCCACTACTAAATATGATATCTTATTTTTGAAAACACATGCGTTCTTATTCCGGTTATTAGCCTAGGATTACTATGTGATACGCACAACACACAAGTATACACTAGATCGCCTAAGTCGGAACAAAGCATCTCATGTTTGTTTGTGAAAATGGTTTGAAGGTGCTACTCACAAGTAGGCTAAGATGTGGATTTGCCACCCGCGAGTGGGCTTAGAAAAATATGATTTTGCCACTCTCAAGTGGACTTAAAACACACATTTTGATGAATTGTTCCAATTCAAGTAATCTAACATTCACCCACAGGCATTCAGGCAGTTATATCACATATGCAGTTAGCCTTATGGCAAGCATGTTATCATGGTAACACTCACACTCATGCAAGATGCTAAAGCATAAGCACTTACCTAGTACTTCGAGCCAAAACAAGAAACTAGTTAGAAATCATGCATGATCCTAGTTCATATTATGATGGCTAATGCAACACATGTAAAATGCAACTAGAATAGGCTCGGCTAATCTAAGAATGGCATGTGAAATGTGACAACTTGATACATGTATTCAAGTTGGAATTGAAATACTATGCAATTAGTATGATGCGCCGAGCCCAGTGCGTGCAATACGAATGAATGTATGCAAACATGCTAACATAAGTATGCTAATTGAAACATGACCTAAAACTAACCATCAAAAGCAAGTAAGTAAAAGGGAGAAAGACGTGGGGTTGGAAGACATTCACACACGCATGCACACTTATTACAAATTCTCCCTCTCGACGGAGGGTCTGAATAAATAATACAAACCAAATGATTAATCAACTATCCTAGCTAATTAATTATTACAAACCCTTAATTAATTAACAAATTAATTACAAAAGGAGGTCACCGCAGCTCCACCTCAAAATGATTGAATGATGCATGCTCGATTGCCTCACTCGGAAACCCGTTGCCATGCCACATGTTGCCTCTGTTTGTACTATTTTGCTCATCTGAAAACTGCACAAGTCCCAAGGATGTTTCTGAACCACTCCCCAAGCACTGTGGGATGTCACCGGCCAAGAGATAGGACCACCGGCCATTGAAAAATGGTTATCGACCATTTGTAAGGCTCTCGCCCAGATTTTGGTAGCCGTCCGGCACTGAAGATGGCCGACCGGCCATATCTTCCTGCAGAATTCTGTTTTTGCTGCAGCAGAGGACAGACAGTGCATGGCCAGCCATTTACAAGATAATGTGTGCACAACCACCCTCCCTATAATGCTATAAACTCAAGGGAGCATGGCTCTCGACTCTTGGACCACCAATCACGCATTTCAATGCGTGATGGCCAAAG